TCTTCATACTCGGTCAAGTGTTGGAGCGACGGCATACAAGTAGGCGCCCTACAGCATTCATGTGTCACCTAGTGTGCGTTTGTTTCTGTGTACCGTTTACACAACAGGTAATGGCTCAGGAGTTCGTAAATATCAGACGATGCTTGTATTTACACACTTGTAGGCGGGTTACAGAGTACGGAGAGCTTTGTAAAAGCTTTCGTACAGGCAGTGGTACGCGACAAATTTGTCTGCTCTCTCCATTTCACTTTTGTCATAGCCTAGGTAGTCCAGTGAACTCTAGAGGGTCCACCAAACTTCGATCTTCAAATCTTTGCAGGCGAGAACCTTATCAAATTGAAGCATGCAGACGGCACTGTTCTCACTTATAAAAAGTAGCGGGGAGCGCGAGCATTGCATCAACGAATGGCAAAGTCATGGAACGTACAGACCTTGAACATGGCTCTAATTATTCGACAAGTAAGACTTAAAGTTGTTTAGCTCTGAAGTCTCATTAGCTCAGACGGTAGTGTGACGGATGAAGTGAGCGCACGAATCTCGAGGGCCAGAAATAGTTTTGTCAATGTGCTCCAATTGTGGCTCCAGAAAGCCATATTACTGGGTCTCGAAGAACGAGTTGGTTACACCCCATCAAAAGTTGTATTAATGTGCATCTGAGAGACCATAAAGATGTGAAACATCCTATGGTCTTTTCCGATCGACAGCTCGGAATCATGGTCGCAAATGGTCAGAATCAACCAATTCGGGGCGATATGATCAGGAAAAGGGTCTTTTTTGATGCTTGTATGGTGAAAAATGCATCCAGCATTGCAAAGTAAGGTCGTTGACGAGTGTGCTACGCATGTCGAGTGACCTTCTGCCGAGAAGAGCGCTGTTTAGAGTGACAAAAACCTAGAAGTGGACAGGGGTTGACAAGGCAGGAGGGAGTGAAGGATGCTACGAAAAGTCTGGGTGTTTTTGGTATTGTTCATCTCTCAGGATCCGGCCCACGTAATCCTCTCTGTGACTAACTGATGATGCTGAATTTTATGGCGGCCAACCGAAGTCAGTGACGTTTGGAATGTCAGTCTATTTACAAGTTTCTTGAGTATTGGTTGCTCAGGTTCTTTGACGTTTTGCACTTGGACAGTCCAAGGTTCTTTTCTCTCTGCAGCTTTTTCTCACTTCCATTATATAGCTTTCTTCAAACAATTTAGCATGTTTGTACCGCACTGAAGCACTGGCGTTTTTTCTTGACCTGACTGTTGATGATATTTGGGTCACCTTCGACGTTTTTTAGAGTTTTGCCTGGCTGAAAAGCTTTTCCGCTCTTATTAGGGCTCATTCGCAGTACATAACTTTGGCCGTCATGGGTTCCCAACTTGGGAACAGATGCACCAGGATAGGAAGGGCAGGAGAATAGGGAACGGTCTATTACACAAGAGGAAGATGTTTCATGCACAACCTTAAAATTCTGTTCTGACCAGAAAGAGACAGGAATGTTGGGTCGAATTGATCCTACTGTCCGACTCCGAAATGGATTTGGCAAGAAAGATCCTTGGTACTCAGGTTTGCATCTCCCTTCCATGTCTTTGGGATTCATGCTTTATCACTTCAACTCCGTATCTTCTGTGCCTCCGTGCAGAGCAACCCTATGATTCGTTATATTGAATCCTACTGTGTCACTTGCTTCAGGAGGGATGGAACACGCGGCAGAACATACTTCTTACAACGTGACCTAGCCGTCAGGTCAGAGGTCAATTCGCAATTCTCCGTTGTCATTAGTCAGGCTTGTTAGACATGTCATCATTAGATTAGCCTGGTCATCGCCTTCCAACTCTTGTTGCGCAACCAAGACCAAAAGAATGTAGCGACAAGCGAGCCGTTGCTGATCAAATGAAACTGACGCCGACTACATGCACAAAATCAGTGGGAGCAAGTGACTAGATTACGCTGACACTGACCAGGCGACCCGGAGAAATCACTGTCTGTAGGATATTGTTTCTTCTCCATAGTTTATATTAACCAGTATGTTTCACACGTCGACCGAAAGCAGTAAATGAAACATGTCTCCTATCAGTCCTTGCCAGAGTTTCTGGTCTTCCTCCCAACACCCAAATACGCCCAAAAAGAAACAGTATTTTCGTGGCGCAGTTCAAAAGCCTGTGTAAAACACTAGGGTTTGTAAATGGTTGGACTATTCTGCAGAGACGGTTCGAACTACACCAGCTTCATTAATTCAGTGGTTGCTCTGATTGGAAGCAGTCAGTGATTTCTCACGTGGCTGCTTCACATCGCGCCCGAAACCCAAAAGAATTTGACTACCAATGGCACGGCGTGTAGGTACCATCACGTGAACGACGTTCCAAATTAGCATCTCTGGTCTGAACCTCTGGCTCGCCGTCGTGGTGAACCGAGAAGAAATGAACAGAAGCGTGTGGCACTGTTTTCGAGACGTGAATTTTGCAAGTAATCAAACAAAACCCATGAGTGTCGATAATAGAAAATGATTGACAATCCTTGAATGCAGTAAACTCTGGGTTTGTAAGATAGCAGAGTTGATGGGATGATGGAAAACAATGTATCATCCACCAACCGATGAGTAGTGACGTTTTGTCAAGTAGATTCAAGAAGGGTGAGAAACAAAAGGCCTATCATGAACCTGATGGATTAAAAATCGTTCGGCTACAGCACCCTTCCAGTGACTAGCTGCCATGCTACCCACAGGAAGCACAAGGGCTAGAATACTGCCTGGTTGCTCAAGTCTAGACTGCCAAGTTGCCCAAGTCTAGACAGGGGGAAACTTGTCTAGACCTGATAAGTCTGCAGTCGGTAACCTGGACTAGCTGAAATGGTGTAAAACTGTTATGGAACTGCATGATGTTGTGAAAAAAATACTGTAGATTATGACCGGAAGGACATTTGATAGATGGGAAAGGGTGGTAGACAATTGGGTTTTGTTTTTTTCAACTCCATTTCTAAAGCCTGAGGAATATGTAAGCAACGGCAAATGGAGAGGTAACCGTGGGTCGTACTAGCAATCTAGACATTTCGTTAAACCAGTTTTTTAACGAACGCGTTACGGCGAGTTTTGGCTACAGCGCGGGTTTCTCGAACAAGTTAGAGCAAGCTTTATACTTGTCAACCGAGAAAATTGATTCCGTAGAGACAAAACCTTTTGTCTTCTGGCGAATTCGGGTCAGCCTGTCAATCTTGATGGCTGGGCGGTTCTCTTAGCTAGGTGGTGTTGTTACCGCCTTTTTACTTGTAATGTGGCCATGCGGAATATTGTTTTTTTTTTTACATTTTTGTGATACTAAGGTTCTTTTTCCTTAGTTGGTTAGAATCCAAGACGGATTTGCAGGTTGACCTGCCAAATAGTTGTCTCGTTTGTGATGGAATTCGGTGGTAGGTGAAAACCGCTAGCATTAGACCAATCCTTGGATGAGATGATACGCAGAGCCACCAGGCCACCTAGACATGAAGACACAGTGATGAGCCATAACGTTAGTTCATTCATATCGAGGGACAAGAATGGTCTTGCAATGTCTTCTGGTTGCATCCAGGGCTAGTTTCTTTGGGACACACAGTAGCATGAGCAGATTCGAATCATATGTAGATAACTTGTTGAGGTTTACTATGCGGTCTGGAGTGAGCGGATTTTTGGCCAGGTAGGTAGGCCTATGCACCGGTCAGCTGCTTTCACCCACGTGTTTCAGGTTACACTTCTAGTATGAACGCTATGGAAGCACCAGGGGACAGTGATTCTCCGAAGGCAGATGATCGCGACCATTTCTGTGGATGGAAAACAGAAGGAAAGCTCATGAGCCGAAGCCCAATAAGCAAGGGTGTACGTCACCAATATTTACATATAGACCAATCAAACCGACAGACACCGTATACTACACACTCAATATCATGGGGCTTTTCCAGTGGCTCACTGGTTTTTGAGCATTGCGCTCGTCGTTCCAGTCACCTCTGCAAGACTATACAGACAAATGTTTTGCAGGCCACTCTATTAATTCCTACTGCTCTCAACCGTTGTAGTCATGTCCAAGCCACTTAAGTTGTTTATGCATCAGGAAACACTCAGTGCCTTTCAGGATTTCGCGATTGATTTTACGCAAGCATAACACCACCACCCCTTTGCCCGTTAAATACACGTTACCAGTTATTTTTGTTTTGTTCATTTTCACCCCACTCCAATCTGAACGGTAATCATCCTGTTCTGACGTAATGGCCCTGGTGAGTCCCTACCAAATGGGAAAAGCACATATATATATAGGGAGTTTGCTTGGTCGTTCAAAACTGATTGGTTGGGGACTGCGCCTATCTGATGAGCTCCAGGAAGGGCGAAACCGGTCGTGGGCTGTCGAAAAGTTTTCAGTAACCTTGTGAGTAGTTTCCTGGTTGGATGAACTTGTCTCTTGTTGCCATCATGAAATGTCTCGAGAAGGCTGGCTTCATGGGTTGTCAGTCTCAACTGTACAGATGATATCTGTTACACGTGTGAAAAAAATCGCTCAGCTGTATCACCCTTCCGGTGCATAGCTTCCACGCTACCCGAAGGAAGTATGAGGGCTGGGATACTGCCAGGTTGCCCAAGCCTAGACAGGGGAATTCGAGAGGCAGAGGTCGGGTTCGAGCCACGGACCTTCAGGCCAGTAAATTCGCGCTCTAAACGCTTGAGCCATCTCGCGTCATACGTATAGAGACTGTGAGTGTCAAGTAAGCTTTTTACAAGATTGACAGTTTGTTTTCAATAGTTTAGTGAATGTGCTGAAGGCTAAACTGTCTCCGGTGCTAAGTTATTGCGTTCTCCCTGTCGGTTTGCTTGGACCAGATCTCGTCATGTGTCAAATCTTATCAGGCTGGATGACTTTAGAAAGTCGCCGGACGGGCCTAGATTTACGAAGAGCGTGCAGTGCACATCGTATTACCTGCAGACAAGCTTGGCAATGAACCGCATAAGGGAGCTTGGTAAGAAAATTCGCTTCTCTGCTGAAACTCCGGATTGAAGAATGTCTACAAATGAAAGGTGTACGGCGAACTGGAAGCAACGTGTTCCGGTCGTTGTTCAGATCAATACGGGACCGAATATCCCGGCAATGAACTTGAGGCAAGTCAAAACGGCTGATTCCAATGGACGTAAACACTTGGAAAAAACCTAGAAGACTTTGCTTAAATGACAAATTTAGACTTGTCAAATCCGGCTAACCGTCCGGAATTATGTGTGGTGTGAGGTGAAGGTTAGCATTCAAATAAATTTATCCAAGTTGAGTTCAAGTGGAACGTAAAGTTGATGGGAGCTAGGAGAGTGTACCTGTCTGATGACCTCCAAGAAGGACGAAACCAGTAGTGTGCTGTCGACGAGTTTTTAGCAACCTTGTGAGTCATGCATTGCGTCTAGACATGGTACACCAGAAAATACCCAGGTAGGGATGTGTTTCCAGGGTGTGTTATATGCATACAGTAGTTCGTTCCTCTGATCGGTAATCTGATGTGATCGTATTCATGCCTTAGGTTAAACGGTGAGTTGTTAGACTTCTTGGCATGCTTTAGAAGTTCGATCATCTGGGTGAGCGACGATGGAAGGCCCGCAGGACATGTGGAAACATGGCACATTAAGGACTGCAGGTGAAACCAGTAGCTTGGACCAGATATCGGCCAGTGACATCCACTGGTATCAAATTAGTCACATCAAGCGTGTAAAAATCGGTGGACTTTAACAAGATTTTACAGAATTAGAGGAGCTCTGTATAAAAATAAATCTTTGTACGAAAGTCTGGCGGATAGAAGTAATCTCTAAAAGTTAATTTTCCATAAAATCCTGGTCTGGTTTTTTCTTCCGGTTGGATAAGGTATGTGGTCTTTGAATGTTGTGTTGAGTAGTATGTCTCACGTGGCTTTTTTGATAGTGTCAGGTATGTTCAGTTGAATGTCACTGAGTCTCAGCGAATTCGTAAGAAATCAGCTGCTGTCAGAAATCCAATACGCAACGTCAAGGTCAGCGCAGTGGCATTCTTTGAATAAATCGGGTCAGTGTTGAGCTCTGTGGTGAGAAAGCCTTTTGAAATTGTAGGATTATTCACAACGCAATGAAAATTCTAACAAGAGCATAATCTTTTTCATGAAGGGAACTACTCACAAGGTTGCTGAAAACACTTCGAAACTCACCTCCTTCTTGGGGCTCATCAGGTAGGCGCAGTTCCCGAGTTTCCGTCAACTTTATGTTCTAATTTAACCCGAATAGGACCGTTTTCGAGAAACACACTCATTTGCAAATCATTTTGCTTTTCACGAGAGACCTAACTGAATCGCTCATTTATGATATTCGACAACTGAATGTGCTGCACACAGACTGCCTCATGTTTTAGTTGGCGCGATATACGAGGTATCGCAGTATATCTTCATTAAGGAAATTACTCATAAGTTTGCTGAAAACCCTTCGACCGGTTTCGCCCTTCTAGGGGCTCATCAGGTAGGCGTAGCCTCCGAGTTGCCACCAAACTTATGTTCTATTTGAAACCACATTGGGCTGTTTTCGAGAAATGCACTCATTTGGTAACCACTTCAACCGGACTTTCAAGAGGAAAGGACCACCCAGACTGCCTATGCAGGAAACGTGATTATCGGACTCCGATATTCCGGCAAGTAAACACCCACCACATAACCGAATGACTAGCCAAGATTGTAGCTAGCCAAATTGGCAATCTGTGGACCTTGTACGTCGAAGTTACCAGGTCGAATTTTTACGAGTCAAAAAATGTATGCAGGCAATAAGCCCCACGGATCTTGTCCCTTACCCCTGATAAAAACTTTCATTCGACACAGTGCAGGAATCCATTTTCCGTAATTTCACCCCGTCGTCGAATCTCTTCATAGGCCCATGCTCAAGCCTTCCCATACCATCTGAACAATTACGTTTTCTCTAGGATTTCGGTGAATTGCTCTTCACTTTCTGTTTGCTAGTTACTCTGTGTTCACTCAGGTCACCTGTGACGGATTTGTTGCTACTTTCGGCAGAGTCTCAAAAATGTGCAAAGGTTGCGCAGTTTGGCACTAGTGTCCTAAAAATTACTCCTATAATAGTTCCTTTTCTGATGGCGCCCACTTCACTCTGTAGCTGGAATATTTTTAGTGTCGAATTTCAAACAGTGCCCACTGAATTTAACTTGATGACTTTATAACCCCCCCCACACACACACACACACACTCATTTACGTACTCTACCTGTGTGCTTATTGATTTTCACCTGTTTTGCTCGTTCATGGTCTTTGTACCTTGAAACGCGTGTAATCGCATCGTCTATCAAAATCGTGGGAAGGGTGACAGGAAAGGGTGACCATAACCCACACCATCGAACCAGCATTCCGCTCACCGTTATCCGGTTTGCAGAGCCTGACGGTGGGCTGCGTCGGTCAGTGGCAGACTTGCGCATTTGCTGAATAATTGTGCTAGGTTGTGTAAATTTGCTCAATTGTGTTCAAGTATTACTGTGAACTTTCGGACCCGTTTCTTCGATTTGATGTTCAGGATCCTCAAGCCTACGTATCGCCCAAATTTCTGCACAGGATATTCTTAAAGCAGGTCTTATTTAGACGTAAAACACTACTCATTAGATTACGGAAAATCTTGGATGGCTCATTACCGGGTTCGTACTACTTGGGGCTCATCGGGTGGGCGCAGTGCTTGAGTTTCCGTCAGCCTTATGTACTACTTGAACCCAAGTATGAATACATTTAGTTGTAAATCAATTTAGTTTTCACGAAAGATTCATCTGAATCTCTCGCTTATGACATTCTTCAACTGAATGCACTGCTCATTGGCCTCCTCATATTTCACTTGATACGACATTCGAGACATCGTTGTGTTTTCACAAAGAAAACTACTCAAAAGGTTGCTGAAAACTTTTCGGTGACCCACGGCCGGTTTATGGAACCCCAGAGACTGCGCGTACCTGATGAGTCCGAATAGGATAGAGATATGGCTTAAAGTCAGACATCGGAGTGGGAGTTGATCGGGTAGCCTCTTTCCGTCACCGAGGCACTGCCGGCTTGCAGATGATATA